CTCTAAATTACGTATTTTTCTAACTGGCTTAACTTAATAACTACCGGTAATGAAAATTCAACTTCTTCCATGAATGCGGTATCGGTACAGTACATTTGGATGTCGGAGATATTTTCAAAATATGCGTTCGAAGTTAATTTGATGGGCTAACTCCCCTTGAACGAATTATCGCGTCTCTTGTGGATTCTTCGAGTCTGAGCAAATAACTCTGGATTTTAATGATTAAAGAAAGCAAGAAACACAAATACATTTTTTTTAACGGATTTGTTTTTTCCTATTGTTTCTTTTTCGTATCACTCTTGTGAGAGCGGTTGGTGATCATGCTGTATCATTGCATTGTGGCCAGATAGATGTTATACGCCTCACGGGTAATCGCCACTTCTCCCGGTTTGTGGGGAGCGCGATACACTCATGTAAACAACCGCATACTGCCGACTTGACTTAATCCGTCCATCGCACGGACAATCTATTGTTTTTGCTTTTCCTAAATTTCTCTTCGAAAAATCACAATTAGTAATCTATTTTTGGAAAAAAGAAAAAAAGGCTTTCATACGAATTTATGTTTTTTCGTTGTTCTCGAGGTATCTATCGGCTTCTCGCCCATAATTAATTTAAAAGCAATCCTTTCAACAAATCATACCCTAAAATTTGTCGCACATATGTATTACTAAAATACATTTGAGATAATTACAGTTCAGATTTCATTCAGGTTCAAATTGGAAAGGTGATTTCGTGAGTTTCCAACCTTTGGTTATCTGATGTTTTAATAGATGAGCTGAACAATGCTAAGCAGGGTATTGCACGGGAACTATTAAAATTATATTTTAATATATTTATTATTATGTAGTTTACTTAGCTCTACATCAACTAAAACTATTACTAATTTTCTTAGTTAGACAAACATATTTAACTATCTTTTTTGCTAGTTATTATTAAAATTCATGATTGATCTATAAATAAACTAAAGTTATAAAAATATAACCAGTCAACTTTTTAACCACAGGATACACCACAGACACACAAACCTGGTTTATTTTCAAAATGCCGAATTGCTAAAAATATTTTTGACCAACTGTTTGGAAATGGAGACTAATCAGAGATATAAACTGATTTTAATTGAAATTAAAAATTAACTAAAAACATTCGTGGTAATGGAAAAAGGCATTATAAAATATGTACAAAAATGTATTTATATCTGTAATTTTATTATATAAATTGATACAGTAAAACAACAGTGACTATAAGAAGATGATTTTAGCTGGTGTAAAATAGTACAAAATAGAAAAAAAAATTGGTATAATCAATAGGAGGCCTATATCAGAAAAATATATCAGAAAATAATCTCAGAATAAAAATCGACTGAATCAGTGGTGCAGTTGTTAGCACCCCGCTCGTGCAGATAGTCATGGGTTCAACTCTCACATCGCCCAAACATTCATGTGAGGAACTGATTTGTTTTAGTCTGGGTGTTTATTATCTATATATATATACATAATATATATTTTATGTTACGTATGTATATATCAGTCTCTGGTACTCAAAATACAACGAATATTAATTTGGGGACAGATAACTGTATGTGATTTGTTCCCACTTATTATTTATATATATAAAAATTAATAGATGTTCGTTAGTCTCGCTAAAACTCGAGAACTACTGGACCGATTTGACTAATTTTGGTCTTGAATTATTTGCGGAAGTCCAGACAACGTTTAAAGGTTTTTTTTCCTTTGATGACCCCCCCCCCCCCTTGGACAGATTCCTTTTGTTTTTTGTTTTAAGTTTATTTTATACTAAAGTTTAGGTCTTTTATTTATCGATTGAGGCACTACAAAGTCTGCCGGGTCAGCTAGTTTATTTATATTTATTATATCAAAGTATCCTCAAATATCATTTACCTATAATCTTAATTTACTTAAGTACAATATTAGAAAGAAGGTTATTTTTATTTGATAGCTCATGACCTACCTGAAATATGAGATTGAAGTCCCATTGATGACAATCAGGACTATAGCTTACAACTACAAACATACCAAATAGTATTGGTAGTTGTTCAAGATAGCTCACAGTATATTAATCTACAACTAAATAATTTTTTAGTTTTTTTTAGTTATACTTTATTATTTTATTCATTTTAAAATTACTCAATTCAATGTTCTCTGCCCTTAAATTCTTGATTGCAAAAATAATTAACAGCTACCATTTCTTGATGTGCAATTTATAATAGTGAATACCAAAACCCACCACAAAACATCAATATTTTATAATAGCTGTCCCAGCTTTCAAGCCAGATCAGATGACTGATTTGTGGCAGAGATAGACAATATGTGTGGGCTTATTGTTTGGGTTATACATAATTGGTGATAGGACATATATGAGCCTATCTGGATAAGATCCACCAACTTGTATATTTCTGCCGCAATTGTCAAGTGTTCCTGATAGATGGATATAACAGCCTTTCCTACAGTGGAGACCTAAAACCTCATGTCTCTTATAACTATTTAATATGCAGCAGAACAGGAGGTCACCCTCACTCAGTTAAGATTACATTTTCTAATTCATGAGCCATTACAATATGTGTAAATAGAAACATGTATATATATAAATATATAAATAGACTGATAGAATAAATATATATATAAATAGACTGTTAAGATAAGCTTAATAGAGAATCATAATGTAGGTTAGGGTCTAAGATAAGAATATAAGACTTGTTCAATTAATAGCAAATATTGGTTAAGATTTGAAGGATCAGTTAATTATATTTGGTCACATTAAGTACCTAGTATTTTTAAAACAGTAAAAGAAGCCATTTTTGCTAATAATATTGTTTCTTTGTTAAATTTGTTTTCATTTGAGAACCTTATCCGATAGCGACGGGGCAAAGCCACCCTCGCTTGAAACATGTCTTGATGGATCCCTCAGATTCACTCTCGGTGGCCCCCTATGGCACCTTTAGACCCCTATGGCACCAATCAATGTCATCGTCAAACTCGAGTTCGACATGCAAACTAACCATAGACATAGCCCACTGAATTTGTTGCCGGATCTCCTCAGTGGGTCGCGATTCCAATCCAGTAGTAGATTCTGCGAAGCACTGCTCTTTCCAGGGCTAGTATTAACAAACTCTCTCTCTGAGCCCATGTGCTCACCTACCCGTCCGCGCGTAGCTGGTCTAGCCTCCTAGGCTACCAGCGAATAGGTATAGAAAATATGTGAGAACTTAAGCTAACTTTAGAACAATTAGTAATTAACAAGTTAGTAAATGCTTTACATTTAATGTATTTATTAGTCTATTAAAACATATTCACCTGTGGTTGTATGCAGTCTAACGCGATATGATGAGCAGCATTCTGCAGAGTCTTGTGTTTAGATTTGTTCTCCTCCATAATTTGACCTATACAAGACTCACAGATATGACATGAGTATCACAGAAATTGCTGAGGAAAATCTTGCTATCTTAATAATTGGCAACGTATGGAAGATACATGGTATTATAACACGACAATCAGCATATATGTTTATTAAAAACAACCCGTGAATTATTTATTTTTTATGATCCATTTGGAAATTTGTAGGTTTGTTTTCGTTGTTTTGATGAAACAAGAAACCCGAAGAATATAAATACACACGACACGGACGTAGTACAAATTCATAATATTTACTATGTTATCGTTTCATTCGTGGTACTATTTCATTTAGTCGCTTAATAATACTAGCAAGAAATCAATACCGACTTGACATAGATTATTAAAAAATGCTTAAAGCATTAGATACAACAAGTACAAGTACAAGTGCAAGTTTGAACTTACCTAGAAGTATTTTAATATGACACTTTTCAACATAGTTGCTTGAATGTAATATTAAATTATCATTTTCAGCGTGACACCAGGTAATCGCTTCTTTTCCAATGTACTATCATATAAACTGATAGAGTGGAATGCATCCCTATTCCCCGAAACCAATCCACTGCCTTTAACCAAGAAATCTACAGATCACGTATGTGTTATCTACAAATCAGTTTTTCCTTTTCCCTTCAACCATTATTTAATTTTGAAAAAGCCTGAGCTTTAATTTCCGTTTGTGGTATTTCCTTAGCCCTTTTCTAAAATCTTCTTCTTTAACCGTGGTTCAAGCCATAACGGCAATCAAAGGTGCTATACACCCTCTCATTCACGACCACGTGACTTATATTATCACGTACTCTTTATTGTAATTTTATTTCTAAATACGTAAACAAAAAACACTCAATATTACTCTTACCATACCAAGAATGTGCTTCAATCAGCATCACCAACAATCATCGTATCATATGATAAGGTATCAATATTGATACCTTTATAATTAAGCAACATATGTCTCAAAAACTAATAATAGGTATTGTGCATATTGAAATATTGTCAAGTAATCTGTTGGTGTATGACTGGCTTTATGTCTCTTAATTTAAATATAGTTTTTTTCTGTATATACCTATCTACGTTATGAAAAGTTATATTTATAAATTTAAGGTAGGATTGATTTATTATCAAATAGGAACATCAACTAAAATGCTATTTACGCAATAAGATAAATTCAAGTGTAGTATGTACATAGTTTCAATTTTAGAATACGAAAATACACTAATGCAAATTTCTACTTTGTTGATAATATAAATGTGTTCTATCGTACATATTGAATTTTCAATGTCTGTTTACTAGTTTTTTTACTGGAAATTACAAATATGATACTTATTTCCATCAAATTATTTAATCTAATACTTATTATTGTTTATTGCTCCTTTGAACTACTATAGAGGAAGACTATCTGCATCATGTAACCTTCACAATCATAATATTTCACATTAAGTTTAAAAGAAAATAGATAATTTAATTAGTATGTAATATTTTGAGATTATTAGCATTTCGGATGATATTTGATAAATTTTAAATTTGCCGCTTTTACTTAGTTACGAGAAGTTACGTGAAATGAAATGTTTCTATTTCGATTTAATTATGGCGGACGATGATTGAACGATAGCATATCTTTTATTTAGTAGGAACGAATTAAAGTAAATAAACGTTAATGTAATTGTCGGAAACAGTCCAACACCGTGAAGGTGTAGTGCCGGGGTGGGCGGATACAAGATATGGCCGAGAATAGAAGTTCGGACAACGTCGTCATGCCGGACATTACCGAAGTATCCGAAGCCGATCCATTGTCGACGGCGACCGAGCACGACAACGAGCGGGTGGAGGGCACGTCTGTGTTGTCTACCACCATCAAAAACACCCGGCTGTCCAATGATTCTAACGGAGTTGTGACTGTACCAGTCTCGTTGCCAGTTGGGACGCTCATCGCGGGTACCACCTTCAACGTGATCACGTCAGACCATTTGCCGCATTTCAAGCCAATGATCTGCGTTGACAATGGTTTTATTTCGGGTGGGCCAGTGAGCGATGAGTTAAAAGCAACACACATCGTCATCCAGAACCCTCCTTCTCCTACTCGAACTAATTGCGAGGATGTGGTGGTAGCTGCGCCTGCGCCGCGATCGATGAGTGCACGATCATGGACGGAGACTGCGAACATGCCAGTGCTGCCGGTACGCTGTAAAAATACATCAGCAGAGCTCCACAAAAATAAATTCGGTTCAGGGGGCAGAGGCAGGTGTATCAAATACGGCATAGAGTGGTACACTCCTAGTGAGTTCGAAGCTCTATGTGGCAGAGCCTCTAGCAAAGATTGGAAGAGGTCTATAAGGTTTGGTGGAAGAAGTATTCAAGCTCTCATTGATGAGGGTATTTTGACTCCACATGCTACAAGTTGCACTTGCGGAGCTTGCTGTGATGATCAATCTGGTAAGTAATGCATGTTAAGTATGCTACAATTGAATATATTTTGAATGCTAAATTGCTGTGAATTTTTAAGCAGTAGTTTTATTAGTATTATTGTGATTATAAACCTGTAATAATGAAATCTACAGCCATGGGACCAGTGAGACTATTCACTCCATATAAAAGAAAGCGAAAGGAAGAAAGAAGTGAGAAGAAACCAAAAATTAAAAGAGAAAGCAGCATTGGAGAGAGTGAAGTGGATAACATACACCAGAGCAGTGAGAATAGTCACTCAAAAGAAGCTTGGCAGAGCATCGCTGAGGGTTTGGAAACTACTACAGATTACCAGATACTGGGGAACCCTGAAATCAAGACTGACCCCCCTCCAAGTAAATATTTTTATATCATAAATATTTATATGTTGAATTACTAGCCTTTGCTGGCTATTACAGCATTCAAAATAAGATTAGAAAACAAAAAAGCTAACTAGGATATTTTTCATTCTTTTGTATTAGAGCACATATTAGATCTTAGCGGCATGGGTGACACTAATTTAGATCTCTTTACTGTGACAAATACTTTGCAATAACTTTGCTAAATGTTGCAAATTGCGACCACTTGCGAATGGAAATTATTATTATAACATTAAATATTTTACTGATTAGTGACTGTATAAAATAAAATTTTAAATGAAATGAACAATTTACAAATTGGATGACAAATTTACAATTGGATGCTCAAATGGAGCATGCATTATGTATGTACTGGTTTTGATGTTACTAAGACAATTTATGCCTCATTTAAATGATAATAATAGTCAATTTAAACATTAATGCAAAAAATTGATATTTATGTATTTTTTCTCAGAAGTCTAGAGTTAGGTGTCTCTTTGTTGTTTAAATTGATTGACAATTTAATGTATATTTTTTGAATAAACAGCTTGCGTAAAGTTCAAGAATTTACATTGTTTTCTGTAGGCTATCAAAAATACAAGCTAAGCTATCATTAATTAAAATTCTGTTTGCAATGCAAAGAAATGGCAAAGGCAATGGCAACCATATACTTAAGCGAATTTTAAAAACAATTTTAACAAGAATTTTGTTTATCAACTATGGCATTTAGTAGATGATCATACCACTTAGATCATCTTAAAAGCTCTGTATAACCAAGTTATACACTACTGCTGCACCATCTCAACATTCAGCATGTGTGTGCCAAGCGTAATGCCATTATATCATCCTCTTATTGCTCATGCCTAACTTTTAAATATTTTCTCCTCCATCTGCCAAGAGGACTTCTTTGTAATAATAGTTCATTATCGGTCAAGTGGCCAGTGATTTCTTTTGTTGCTATTATCCTACTGTTATTTAACTTAACTACTGTTATACTGGCAGGTAATTTGAGTTTTATTTATATTAGGGTCAGTGTCTATTGACTTAGGTAAATTAATAAAAAATTGTTGCAATAGAGATGTCATTCCTGTAAATAATTAATAATTATTCAGAATTTATTGCATTTTGTGTGAACGAAAATGATTACCTACTTAATTTCCCCTTTAATCAACTACCCTTAATACACCGTAAGGTGATTCTATTTATCAATTAACATAAATAATTGCACTTCAAGTTATTGTCACCAATGCTTGTAGTATGGCTTTTTGTTTCAATATATTTCAATTTTGCATTTGCTTACTGTGGCCAGCTGTGGTTAGCTGTAGTTATTGGATTCTGGTGTAATCTTTACCAGTGCATGTACATTAATTTATGTTTAGTTTATTGATGCGTATATTCAAGTCTTCTGACTTTATTTAAAAAATAAGTTTCATATTAGCATGATCACAATAAAAGAAGAGTTTTAAGACTTCCGTATCATCTACAAAATTTGACTTCCCTATCTCAAAATTCTTAGGACTCCCTGTAGTAGATTAGCAGCACCATTGTGATGAATGATGTCTTTTTTACGTAATTTCTTTTAATTACTGAAAATTGACTCTTCCTCGCTTCAGTTTCCTCAATACTGAGGGCCGTGACTCCCTTCTCACAACAAGAGTTTATTGTGGATCACTCTATGCCATTTGTTCTTATCTCCCGCTGAGTGTAGAGCATATCGTGAAATGTGGTGTTGCAGATCTGGTCAGTCCAAAGTCCACTTTGCCAGTAACTATTAGCTTCTCCCAGTTACTGTCATCCTTTTTGGCAATGTGTGGCCAAAGTATTCCAGATCTCTACATAGCCAGATGTTAGAAAGCCTCATTTGTATTTGAACTTCTTGGAGGATTGACACATTGATTTGACGTGCTCTTCAAATTATCCCTAGCATCTTTCGCCAGCACCACATCTGAAATGCATCAATAAGGTCGCGATCAGCTTTTTTCAAGGTCCAGGTCTCTGTCAGTATAGGGACATGGAGAATACTAAAGTGTGTACAAGATTGCTCTTGATTTTCAGAGAGATGTTTTAATTGTTTTAGACTGTTAGAATAAGTAGACTGTGAACTATGCTAGGAAAGTTTTATTCTAAGACTATTTACTAGAATATTTTATAGTTCCTTTATGGATATCAAGTTGTGTGTATCATGTGTCTATCTGATTCTGAATATTGTCACCATTGTTTTGAAAGTACCTGTGCATACATATAATGTTTCGTTTTGCTGCCTCAAATTTCCTGACTAAAACGTCATTCTTTAAACTAATAAAGATACCGGAACATTTCCAACTTCCTACGCTATGATTTAAATTATTAACTCCTTGGTCACATCTAAACTAAAGTCAATAATGATGTATTATAGGTGAAAGAGGAAGCTGACTATACTCTTAATCATCTGCTGAGTTAGCAGCAGGTTCCAACATTAACAATAAAACATTGCATCAAATTGACCATCTAATAAAAATAAGTAGTGCTGCATGAGCTGAAAGCTGTGCTTATTCGATGCTTGTCAGTGGTTTTGTAGGGTCTAGGCTTCTGAGCCACACCAAGATGGAAAAGACCAGTGTTCGAGCGATATGTAGTTTTGTTCATCTGTTTATATTGCTCTTTTGGAAGTAATTATGAAGGGAAAGTATTCCACCGAGTGGGTGATATTGCTCGGTAGACCAGCGGTCCGAACGTTGTTGTCCAGAACTTCTATATGGAAGCTTATCTTTAAACTGTCGTAAGCAAGATTCAGGCATCTGTCAAATATTTTGTGTTCCATGACGGCTATCCGCCACACCGTCTTCAACTATACTATTCAACTGGGCAGGTCATGGCTACTACTATGCGTGAACGAGTTTCTATTATAGTTTGCAATTACTCTTGTACTTTTAATAAAGAGACAAGGTACATAAACTCTTCCACAGCTTTGTATTTCTATAATATACTAGTCTTTTTGTGATCTTAATTGCCAGTCCCGTCTCCTCATTGACAATATAGACAACTCTAAAGATCGGCCATTTCATTTTTAAAAGATGCAAACAGCATAGTGGAAGTTAGATATACTCCCGATTTTACGCATTATGAATACTCCGTAAAAATTTTAGGTATAGGATGGCAGATATCATAATCACCAGTCACACTCCTTTTTGAAATTGGGAGGAGCTCGATCTAGCGTTCCCCAACCTAATGGTGCCGTATCTAACCTCGTACAGATTTCTAATTAGGATCATAATATGCTCTGACACTCTTGCCATTTTTAAGATATCCCATAATTGTTGCTATTTCACATAGTCAATGCTTTCTTTTTGTATTAGTTGACAAAGTACACAATCACTGGTATGATGAATGATGATGATATATGATGGATGAAATCTTAAAACTTTTCAGCTATTGATTCATTTGATATTCCTTCGTAACTTGTTCTTGAGGTATTTGCCAGTCTAGAAATTATCTGAGGTAGTTGTTAATGATTAGCAATAGGATTTTGCTAGTATGCGATATTACCGATTATACCTAAAGGCATTAATAGCTTAAAAACGAGATGATGATTCTTTCTATTAAAATAAACACATAAAGAGGTGAAAGGCTATTTGGTTTAAACGACATTCTTGCAGCTTTACAAGAGAGCCATTTAACATTTAAAATTTGGAAAAAATAACATAACAAAAAAACTTCTTGAGATACTTGAATATAGTAAATATAGTATAGTATATATATAGTATAGAATTAATGCGTTGACTATCTGGATTTATAGTCTGCGAAATTTTCCTACCCTGTAACAGAAAAGCTGTTTAAACCATCTTGAAAGCCATGGCATATTTTGATTGCACCATTGTACTAATTTATTCCTTTTAAGTGAAATTCTTACAAGAGATTATAACCTATAAGCTAAGACTATAATGCGATTAATATAGCAAATATCCATTTCAGATCAGATTATAGTCATAGTACCATGAAGTTATTCTCATTTCTTAGCAGATGTACCAGACATGAGCGCTGTTTTAAAACGTCTAGATGACATCAGTGAAACCCTAGTGAGGCTGTCCACGGAACTAAAGCAATGTGTAGAAGATGTTAGACGGGTCAGTGCTCGACAACTAGAGCGCTTGGAGCAAGAACGGACGTCAGCCCTACTCGCTGCCAGTGTCGATGATCAGGTTGATCCTGAGCAAGTATTATTGCATAATGTTGAAGATACAGAATCTAAGAAGGTACAGGTAGATATTATTATCTGTTATCTTGATTATTCAAATTTCTGTAATAAATTCATTTTTTCTATAAATAATTTTAAAATTTTGAGCGAATAGAATATTGGATAAAATTTTATTAAATAAAATATTCTTACTTTACAGTGCGCTAATTGCAACCGTGAAGCATCAGCAGAATGTTCTTTATGCAGGCGTACACCATATTGTTCCACATATTGTCAGAAGAAGGACTGGGCTTCACATCAGATTGAGTGCCTACGATCGGTGCCAGCAATACATACTGATGCACAACAGCACCAATCAATAATGCTGATTGTTGAAAGCCAGCACCAATAGAAGGTATTTTGTATTTATTATTATAATTACTGTTGAAGGTTGTCTGACATTCTAGAGCAGTGATATGGAACTAATGTGCCACAGCACTTATACGTGTTGACCGAAATAGACAGCTACATTGCACAGAGCAATTTGTAAATTAAAATATGAAAACAGGTTAGGAAAACATTACTAAGAACATATTTATAGATACGCCTGCATGGGGTAAGTGAGCTCACGGGCTCAACCTCAGAGAATTTGCTAGCACTAGTCCTACCATGAGTAGTGCTTCGCAGAATTCGTATCGGGTTCGCGATCTACTGAGAATAACCGGCGAGAAACTCAGTTGGCTGTTTCTGTGGGTTAGTTCGCTGGTCGAATTCTTCATCGTGATCGATGAGTTCGACGAGGGCAGTGACCGGTGCTTGAGAGGCTTAAAAGCACCGAGAGTGAATTCGGGGGTCCGACAAGACATGTTTCGGGCGACGGTGGCTTTGCGTTGCCACAAAGAGACAAATTACCTCGCTTGCAGATCATGGGATAGAGTCGACAGAGTAGGATTGCGGCTCGGTCGTGTACTGACTTAATCTGGGGCCCGAATATCATCCCTCTATCGAGGGCGACGTCTAGGTACTTAGCTTTCGAAGTCCACGGTATGGGCTGGCCAAAGATTTTAATGGCGAGAATGTAGTTACCGCGCCTAATTGGTGATGAGGTACTAGCAGCAGTGTTGGGATGGCGACCCCTTTTGAAGAGTACGGCTGTGCTTTTCGTGGGGTTGATGTCAATGCGCTACTTCCACAACCATTGTCCTAAATTGGTGGCCGCTATCTGGAGTGCGCATGAAAAACATCTTCCTACTCGAGTAGTAAATAGCCGTATCCTCGGCGAAAAGGGCTAACTGACTCCGGCCAAGATATTTCGCAGGCGAGAGCGAGCTTCCTCGACTCGATACCGAAACGAACGGTTCGACAAGAAGTCTCGCATAATGAACACGAGACAGTCTGGCAGGCCCACGTTATTCAGTTTATAAATTAACCCGTTATGCCAGACTGTCGAACGCCACCGCGGTATTGAAGAAGAGGGCTCCCGTGGGGACGGGTCTGCGTTTATTAGCCCTACTAAGATGTGCTCCGTAAGACGGTGCACTTGCTGAATGCCCGAGTGTTTCGTGCGGAATCTGAATTGTTCATCGATCAGGATGCCTTTCGAGGTTATGAAGTCCCAGATGCGTTTGCGAAATAATAACTCGTACAATTTGCCTATCACTGGGAGGAGGCTGATCGGGCGGTAGCTCGCGGGATCATTTTTAGGTTTACCAGGCTTGTGTATGGCAATAACGTCCGCTTCTTTCCAGACCGCGGGAAAGATGCAATTCGTCATAGCGGCATTTACGAGTAAAATAGAAACCAAAATCAGTTGGGTGGGTAATTTTTTTAAAACGCGGTTGTGGATTCCATCCGAGCCTGGAGCTTTCCGTGGTTGTATGTTCGGGATTTCTTCTTTTACTTCGTCAATCGTAACAGAGGGTAACGTGTCCGCGGGTGACTGGAAATCCCTGTCCGCTAACTCGGTGTGTTCGGGGTCCGCGATTTGAGAACTGGTGGTGCACTGCTCTTGCAGTGCATCGGCCAATAACTGCCTTTTCATCGTTATCGAAAGCTGAGGGTTGGCCTGAGGGGCGTACAAGGGGAGGCATAGTGGCGATATTTTCCGATTTGAGATATTTTCCGATCACCAATTCGCACCTTGGGATTGTATGAACTCGATTCAGTATTTCCGTTTTTTAAAGTGCTTGAATCGATTGTGGGCCATTGGCATCGGCAATATCTTATGATTCCGGCCATACTGAACCATTAACATCGTTCGATAGCTCAACCATAACCGTTTGTCTAGCCTCATTTCCGGAAAAGTAAGATTCAATGATCCCTCCAGATAAAAAACCGCACTAAACAGTCCCCTGTTGAGGGTAGGGAGCCTTTTTAACAATAATCTGGATTCTGGGTTTTCCAATCTCTAAATGCGACGGTTCTGATTGCTCATATAGCCTCCAAGGTAAAAATGGGCCTCATGACCCCAGAGATTATTCGATTAATTGATTGAAATTTATGGATTGTACTTTAAAGCCTTAAGACCCAAGTTATTTTAAATGCAATGTAATGTCGTTTAAGGAATGCCCAATTCCAAAAATCGATGAAACAAGGGCAATCCTTTGTTTTCCTCACACTATGGCCTACAACAGCACTATTCTCATTGTTTTTGAACGACGAGGACGAGCTCAAATCTTCAAGTCTCAACAGCTCAAAATTTTTCACTAATTCCACAATTCCACAATTGCAATTGAGAAAGTGCTACGACCCAGAATGGTTTAGTTTTGCAAACCTTAATCGCGGTTATACCATTTGTTGTAATTAATTTTAATAACTTCAATGCGTTGTTGAAGCGTACGTCGTTCCATTTTGTTAGTGGCGTAGTTTTTACCATAGTTAATACATTTATATTTAAGATACATGCGCAATCTCAAATTTTTTTTGCTTTAGTTGGGCAGGTTTTTTCGTGTCATCTGTCAAGGAGTGATTTGTTTTTTTTTTTCGGGTTTTGTGCTGAACTCCCCGTGCCTAGGGGGCGCGCAGGGTATGTGGGACTTGACGATCTACAGATGTTGGGAGCAGACCGCGGGCCCAAGGAATTTTAGGGCCCTACCGCACTAGGGGGGCGCGCGAGTTATGTGGGACTTGACGATCTGCAAGGTGTTGAGAGCAGACCGCGGACCCATGGAATACTACCGCACTAAACGACTCCCCTGCACTCTTACACCCGACGTCTCCGTCCAGGGTCAGAACCCGGTCAGAGTAGGGGGGTTCCCGCGGTCAACACTACAACCAGACACGCGGCGCCACCTCCAGGACGCCCGACCGACGGGTTTTTCGAGGCGATAGTCGACGACCAACGACGCCGGTCTCCGCGGTACGGTGGCCTTACCCGGCCGCCCGGGCCATACCGCTGGTGTTCCGGGATACCCTGCTGGGCCAGAACCAGCCTGCCGGGCCGGAACGCGATATACCGCCGACCGGGTTGCTCTTCTACAGTATGTTCGGCGACGACAGCGACGACGACAATGCGGACGGCATCGCAGGCCGCAGCCGCCGACGCGTCGTTCCGTCCTCCTGGTGCCAGTGCACTAAAGTTACGGTAGCGTGCGGCGCAGCCTCAACCCCCTTAGGTCGCTCCGTGACCATCACCGGGAGGAGACTGCCTCCTCACAGGGGCCGGAGCTGGACAAACGCCCTCCTCCGAACCCGGTAGCTTAACTCGTGACAACTGTTAAAATAGCAGGCTATTCAAAACGAAACGTCTTATTGGAGATATAGAGATATTTGAACATTTTTGTGAGAGAATTCCACTTATAGACTATAACCATTGCATGAATTCGTTTTTTTTTTTATTATCCCTATTTATGTTAATATTGTATTTTTCTTTTCAGGCAAAATTAAGTCATCCTTGAGCAATAAGATTATTTCTTTGAAAAACCTAAATTGCGGTCAACGGGAAGATCACATTATATTTGGAGAATTTTTTTGACCCGATGTGAACTTAAACAAACATTCTGATAGTGATAAATTCAACATTTAACAAAATCTGTTTTGATCTTGAAGTAACTGAAACAAAGATAAAAGTTGTGTGTATATCGATAAAAAAGCAATGTATTGTAACATTCATTTTGACGGGAATTTCCAGTCAATTCTAGCATAACATAGCCAGTACATTAAGTATTGGAACATGAATACCTCATTCACCACTTAGAAAATGGTAAATTATACCAGTGCTATTGTTACCACCGACGCTAATGCTATTATGGCTTCCAGTGACCACCCTAACACATTGACCATCATAAAAAAATCGAGTATTTTCATTAAGGCCACGGTGCTCACCAGTGAGCCTTATCTTACTGAACCATTCGGGCCATGAGGGTCATCTGTGGGCCGCCTGAGGGTTCCAACGTAAACGCTTCCTACAGGCTAAAGATTGTAGCTATCAAGCAAAACGCGTATGAAAGTGAGCCACGTGGCCCTTTAGCAGAATCTAACGACGTGGTTTTCAAATCCAATGTAAACTTTTAGCTTTTATCAAGATATATCCTTTAGCGTATTAAAATATCTTAAAAACACATTTATAAAAATTATCGCATTTTATATTTTATAATATAATGAAATTTTCACGTTGATAAAAATTACTGATTCCCTGATTTTGGCCTGGCCCGAATGGTATAGAAGGTTGCAAAGCGTTTAGCGTGCTAACTGCTAACAGCAATGGGTGGACCACGCCCATTGGCGTTAGTGAACAAACACTATTATCGACCTTTCATTGATGCGTACGGAATTAAAATAATTATGTAATTATTGTAAAATTAATTATTATATAATATTATTCCTAAGTTCAGAGCCAGGGTTGAGTATAACTAATGCCATGCTCTTTTCTTGTAATATTTTGTGATAAATGAAGTAAGAATTTATCTTAATCTTTATGTTTGAGGGGCTTGTTAAATATTTGCTCAACGCTTATAAACTACGAAATCAATTTGAGACTCATGACAAACATCATACTCTTAGTACTAAATTAATGCTTTATAATTCACAATGTCATTGTTTTCTATATTTTTATAATTAATTATCTTTTATTTTAATGGGAATTATCTTTAAATGCTTCTTCTTAATCTGGAACTTTCATCACATAGAAGGAAGTTAAAAAAATGAAAAATCACAAAGAGAACTCTTGTATATTTAAACAATTAAGTTGAGTAAAATAACATTTAATGTAAGCCATAATTATTTTGCTCTTTTTTCTCCTTAAATTTATTTGTACAGGCTTTTATGAGTTAAAGCAAGATTTTAAAATCCGACTTGTGATCGTGAATATAAGACTTTTCTTTTAGTTAAATGGTCATATTATGATGTTTATGAAATAAGTAATAAGCACTAATCTCAGTAGCAACATATATCATATAGAAGATCTTAGAAATCAATAATAAAACAAACTTGGATATGAGTCTACTATTATCAAAGCCGGCAATCTGACTTTTGGACAATGATTGGTAAATCAGAAAAACGAATTATTGACTTTGTATTCCATCGGCAGTCACAAAACTCTTCGGAACGACATCTTAGATAAATAACAGGTTAACTATTAACCTTTATTTAATGCAGGTTTTGAACCATATTCTTTGAAGGAGACGATTATATTCAAATCAATCTGTATTGACATATCAATAAAAAAAATTTGTCGAAATGCACAGATTGCCACCTTTGATAATAGATGACTCATATACCTTAGAAATCAATAATAAAACAAACTTGGATATATTTTCTGCTTTTGTTCATAACAATGAAGAGTAAAATTATTATTTTAAGTTCCAATTTTTTTTATATTGTTTAGAGTAAACATTAATCGAATCCATCGACCCGAAAATATGATTCTGTGAAAAAACGTTTGTGTGTAATTTAGGTTATATATTATGTAATGGAAGTTCGTCGAAGCATTTACTAATGTCTTCCAATTGTGTATGTACTATTAATGTACCAGAATTGTATAACGCATTTTTTTCTTTGAAATTTTCAAAGCCAAGTACTCATTACCGCCTTAACTGAGTTGCTTAATGCATTCCTCAGAGATAGATATCACATACCACCATAATCGATTTTTCTCAAGAATAATGTGTACCATTAGTGATTAAATATTATTCAGCTTATTTTTGCAAATATTTTGTTCAGATCTCGGTCTTAACTTATATGAAATTTAAACTAATAACAGAAAGTATTTTTAAAAAAAAATACAGCTGAGTATTACTTACAATAATTTGAAATAATATATCCATTTTTGTGATTAATATTTAGCGAGAAAACGGTATTTTAAATTTTATTTTCTCGTCGCTTCGATAACATCCAATAACTGTCGTAGACTTTTGTAGAATTGTTAAGTACAGTTAAGTTTTAACTCCGAGAACTTGCATGAATGCAGAAAAAAAATCCAGTGTATCTTATTTCGAAACTACATCAGTGGTCGGCAACTTAAGGCCCTTTGACTCCCCAGCCACGGCTCTTCCGCGAAATGCTTAATTCAGGTACGGAATTTGTACGGCTTATGTAAAAAATTTCAAAATTTAGGGTTTTAAAAATATATGTTAAAAAAATGGAACTTTGAATAAGTTTTAATTGTGTTATTATGTTAACTAGGCTAGAGTTTTCTGTCAACTGCATCATTATGTACTTTCGGCATCATTTGCCTCTGTAAATTTCTCGAACTGTTTCTGTCGTGGACATTCCGTACATTAGTGCATTGGCTTCCCATAGCAGACTTGATGTAGTCTGCAGGTTTGGCCTGGTTCTCTTTATTTTAAGCTTTTTGTTGTCCTCTCTGCTTGACATGACCGACCGTAGATATTGTATAGCAGCTAGATAGATAGGAAGATTCCTAACCTTCCAACCGAAACAATTGAGTACTTCACGTCAGAATGGTGCCACTTATCTAGCAGTGCCGACTTGTAATAAATACGCCCTACTACTAATGGAGAGACTCTTAGTGAGAGGTAAAGAGGATGGAAGACTATTCAGAGGTCGGAGCAAAAAACATAGAGTGACCAGGTTTCCGAACATCTGGATACGAGACTGAGCCACGGACTTCACTGTGCTACAGACCGACATAAGTGGCTACAAATTACAAAAATGCTCAGTAATGAGCGATCGACTGAAGGATGAGGAGGATTATTAGTGACTTGCTGTACCCGTCCGCTTCGCTGGGCATTTAAAATTAACATTATTATTTATTGTCATTTATTGTTATTAGGGAGTCCAACACTCATATAAATATTAGCCTATCCATTAAGTACATGTATTTTCTACATGGATACCAAGCTTCAAGTCAATCGGATGCATGGTTCAGTAGTTAAAACGGAACATCGTAAAAACCACTGTAGATTTATATATTACTATGGATATGGATTATTATTATATTGAATTAATGAATAGTCTTTTATTCAGATCCATATTACGAGTACAATTATATAATCTAGACTTTTATTTGGATGTTACTTAGTTTCTGTACATCTGTTTGTAAATCGACAAAGGCCTCCTCCGACTGCGACGTATATTTTTGTTTCTTTGTAGTTATTTCTCTGTGTTGTTGGAGGGTTGTGGTCTTTATCTCCCACGAGGACCAGTCAGCTTGAGGGAAAACGTGTTTCTTCTGTATGTTTATTTTCGTAGTTTGTTTGGATTTTTAATTTACCGGTTCATTGCTATTGTTTATTGGGTGTAGGCCGTGTAGGTTTGTTGGTAAAAAGTGAGTACTGAGTCTCATTACATCGAAGGCATTTATCCTGCTAACTTTGGCAGAGCATAGTGTGCTGTTTTCTGGGTTGTCATTAGGAGGGTGACGGTGAGATCGTTGGTTTTTCTTTTCCATTTTTTAGTTTTATTTTATTTTATTTTTTTATTGTTTAGATGGGTGGACGAGCTCACAGCCCACCTAGTGTTAAGTGGTTACTGGATCCCATAGACATCTACAACGTAAATGCGCCACCCACCTTGAGATATAAGTTCTAAGGTCTCAGTATAGTTACAACGGCTGCCCCACCCTTCAAATCGAAACGCATTACTGCTTCACGGCAGAAATAGGCAGGGTGGTGGTACCTTGTCAGCAATTGTCTTACGAAATCGAATACGACACATTTGGAACAGCAAAAAAAGGCGTTTTAAATACTATCAATTTTATTTTAATTGGTCATCCATACTTGTAAAGACACGGGCTGATAACATTCCATTTTGAAAAAAAATCACATTGCCTTTTTTATTTCTGTCGTTCTCTTGTTTGAAATGTTATCACGAAATCCGAATTGTTGATGTTAGTTGTAAAAAAAACTAATAAAGATGTGATATATTTTGAGGAATTTGTTCACGTTTGGTTGGATCACGTGTCACCACAGGCTGGGTCTGTGTGATGCAAAACATCTGCCTGACTACGCGTTTTCTGGTCGCCTCTCTGTGTACCTACCTATTATTTCCTTATCGATTTGGAATTATTTAAAATTTTAATTTAGCAAAATGCACCGTTGTTATTGATGCCATATCCCACAAAAGGTTTCTTTTTTTAAAACATTGAGAGCGAAACTCCATAAAATATTTGAAGACTATTGTAACGGCTTTGTTTTGTGGTAATTAATTTTCTTTCTAAAAGGGGCGATGTCTGGATATTGCGGTGAACGAAGAGGAGAACTTTCTTTGGTAGCTCCTCTAGTTTGGTCACAAGCTGACATGTCGTGTGGGTCGACCTAAACGAACAAATTCGCTTATAGTAAATAACAAACTTTGTTGAATGGCGAACTTTTATAATGAACGTTCGATTTTTCGTACAGACTAGTGAAGGTATAGTTAAAAACACCATATTGTACCGATTTCGTAACGTAATGTAGAATTCGACAAATTATACACTCTAACCAGTTCACGGCGTATTTACTTACCGAGGGATCCTTTGTTTCAATTTGAATTGTATTGAATTATTTTGTCACTTTAATTCTATGAACCGTAACGTGGTTTAGGTTGTAACTTCTTGCGAATAAATTCTTTACACAAAGGTTTTAGTGCTATCGCCTTTCGTTAGTTGTTTTTTTCATACGTAGACGAATATGGCGAATGTCATTAACAATTACAGTGAATCCGTGTGCTTAGTGCGAGTTTTTTAACGTTCTCGTTAACGTAAAAGTTAGCCCATATTTGTATGGTAATGGAATCGTTTGCGTACGTTTGCCGCTAGGGGCGCTGTTCCAACTGCATACAAAATTGGCTTAACTTTTACTCTATCGAGAACGTTAAACAACTCGCACTAAGCACACCGATCGAGGATCGAAATACATGGCACAGCAGCTACTCACTAACCACTGCATCTTTATCTATTTCAAGGGTTAGTGTTAACACGTTAGTGTTCCAGTAGTGGTACCACTGGTACCTACTACTAGGACTAAGTAGCACCAAACATACCTTTTAGATTTTATTCGGAGTTCAGGAATTTCAAGTAAGACATCATTATATTTTATTGGATTGGACTTGCGGGGTCAGCTTATTGGGAT